CTAAAAAATAGGTTGGATAACGAACTTTTTAAAATTGGGTCAAATATGGATAAGAATCATATTATCCATTTAGAAAATAGATAACCAATGGATAATTAATGGGTTTAACTTTTACATTTGTAAAGCTTCAAATTGGGGGTTACTCAAATTTGGGAGATTAGGAATTCTCCCAAAAGTGATCATATTCAGGAAGTCATGGATAATATGGATATATTATCCGCCGGTTGACCCATTTTTATCCATATTAAATATGGGTCGAGTCAAATAATTTTCATTACCCGCTTTCGACCCGCCAATTAGCCATCCCTATTAATAACAATATCATAAAATTAAGATCAAATAATATAAAAAGAGTCATTTTTTAAACGGTAGTGGATTGTTAGACAAATAGCCGGCCAATTTCAATGTTTACTTTTTCTAGTTAGATACATAGATTATAGATTAATTATACATAGTTATACATATATTATACATGAATTTTACGGATATTATACATCTATCAACTACTTTTAGTTTAAGTACTTGAACTAAAAATAGTCGGTTGAGGTATAATAATATGTATAATTTATATATATTATTTATATATATGACGAGAAAAGGTAAATAATAAATATCGCCGGCTATTTGTATAATAATCCCTATATAAATAGATATGTCACCTAAACTGAGACACTAGAAATGCTATGTACACTAGGCTAAATGGTGCCGACAACAAAGTTCTCATTGTAGTGATTGCGGCAGGCCGTTCAATTTGGTGTATCAGTACGGCGGAAGCAAAACGAGGGGCAAGCAGCTAGTCCTAATCCGTCATTATCCTTTTTTATTTACGTGACATTTTTTTATTAATTTATTTTTAAAAAAATAATATATTTTTATATTTAAAAATAATTGTGTTTGACTCAAAAAATATTGGGATCTTTTTGAATAAATCAATTTAAGAAAATGAAGGGGTAAATCTTAGCTAAGTATAATAATCTCTAGAACAAAAAATACGCGAGATGAATACAAAGGATAATATTTCCTGACCTTATCAAGAAGAATGATCGAACAATAATGATATTAGTCGTTTTTGTAAGCAAGTGTTACAACAAGTATTCTTACTTGACAAAGCCGAAGAAGGAGAGACCCTTATAAGGTTGTTTTCACGCTATATATAAGGGACAAACCTCTTCTAAGCCCTAAAAGACAAAATACAAAGAATATTCGAAAGAATATTCTTAATTCCCCTAATGGGCCTACACTATTATAAAAGTCGTACAGTCTCTTGTTAGCTTGTCTGTCGTCCCCTGCAGGACATCGAGCTACGAGGATCTCGTCGCTTGTCGTATTCATCCACGGTCGTGGTCGTCCAAATTTGGATCCATATAGTTAGTCCCTCTGCTTGTCGAGGTTGCAACTTGATGTGTCCTCGATAATCGGGCACCACTCGCTCTTATGGAGAAATTTGATCTTACGAAGTCTTCCGGCCTGGCCAATAATAGGAGGTCAGCATGCTCAACAAGACACCGGATAGTGTATTTTATAAGGAAATGACGTTATCTCCACATGCGTCATCATTATGCTTGTTTTCGAGACAGGGGTTGAGGGATTGTCGCTTCGATTTTGGTGCCACTCTACAACATTTCGCTTCGATTCTGGCGCCACCTAATCTTATAAATAGGTGGAGGGTTTGTTTTTTCAAAAACTCTTGGCCATTTCATTTCTGATTATCCTTTCTCATCCCTTCCAAGTTTGTTCTAACAACTTTCTGTTTCTTCTTCTCCCATTCTTCGTTCACAACCTTCTCTGATGTTTTAACACCTTTTCCACCGAAGAAATGCCTAGAACACACCGATCTAGTGAGGGAGTTTCTGAGGCCACCCCGTTGTCCGTGGCGCTCCCCTCTGGCGGTGAGGATATGACGGTGGAAGAGGGGATAGTTTTCCCACTGTGGAAGAGTTGCTACCGAGACACCCCATGTCGCAAAGTGACTTCCTCAAGGATCTTCCTCCTACTCCTACCCTCGTTCTTTCTGAAACGGAGCAAGTTCATATTGATGCTCTCCGTACAAAGTATAGCATCCCCGCTCATGTTGATATGGTTCCAGCGGGAAGGGACTTCGTGGAAGTCCACAGGCCTGGGTACTACGCTTTTTACGAGTACCTCTTCGTGATCGATTATTCTTTCCCCCTCCTTCCGTTAGCGGAAGAGTTTTGTAGATTCTATCAAGTTTGCCCGGTGCAACTTTCACCATACACGCTTAAGATACTTCTGTTGTTGACGAAGTATGCGAAGTTGGCGGGGTGCGAAGTTACTGTCCACCACCTCTTGCACCTGTTCTTGCCCAGCTTTCATAGGGGCAATATGGTGCATTTGAGGCACCGTGGAACAAAAGGGCTGGAGGTTGGGACCGACGACCGAGCAAGTCGCAAGTTTTGGCATAAGTATTTCTTTGTCAAAACCGAACACATTGTTCCTGACCCCGCTAGGTTCCTGGAGCGGTGGAATGAGAATCGTAAGTGTCGCCACTTATTTTACTCTTTCTTTTCCTCTTCATTCGTTAGAGGGTTTGTTTGTTTCCCGTTTTCAGCTCTGGGACGTCCACCCTGCCCTATTGCGGGTATAAGGGACTGGGTAGCCTGTCTATTGCCCTATGCAGCGGAGACCCAAAATTGGCCCGCATTCGTGAAATGTTATGGACCGAGAGTTTCATCTGGTAAATGTCTTCCCCTATATCACTTTGTTGGTCATACACCATTATCTTGATAGGACTCTTCGTGATGATAGGTCGAGGAGCTTCTAGGCGGAGGGCCCTAGTCCCTGCATTCCGACAGGTTGTCACTGCTGCAGAAATGCAATTTACTTTGATTGAATCCATTCGAGGGGGTCGTACTCAACCGATTCAAATGGAAGCTCCCTCTCGAGATATGGTTGTGAGGAAAGAGGCCTCTTCTGTACCGGCCCCTACCTTTTGGACGAATCTTATAACAGGGACGAGTCATTACTAAGAAAAAGGAGAAGAGTGGAGCTTGGGAAAGATGTGGCCATGGATGCTGGTAGAAGGAGGGTGGGTGCGTCGCAGACGGCACCCTACCTACATTTATGGCTAATGCCATTTTAGCGGGAAGGTCTCCGCAAACGGAAGGGATTTACCCAGGAGGCAGCTCTGTACGCTCCGCTGAGGGTGGCGCGTCATCCATCGTTGGAGGGGGCATGCGCTTCGAGGGCAAAGGCTCAGGTTTAGATGTCGACCCGGAAGACGTTCGTGAGTTTTTAGAGCGTCACACTCATGTGGAGGTCAGAGTGAAGGTTCTGATCGACATATAGTCGTCCTAGGGGACTACAACTTAGTATTGAACTGTGATCAGGTGGTGTCTGCTTTATACCCTTGATGTGCCGCCCCCGAGAGCGAGCTGCTTAGAGCGATGAGCGATACGGAGTTGTCTCGGAACGTCGCCGGCATGGACTTGCGGGTAGATGTCTTTCTTTTCCGTTTCGTTGTTGGGTGTGCGTTGTTATTATCGACTTGTCTTTTTATTTTGACTTCTTTCTTGTTGTTCCAAACCCTTATCATGGAGACCGAGCGCGAGCGCCGGGAGAGGAAGAGGACGGCCATCTACGGGAAAATGTATTCAAAATATCAAAAATATCACAATAAGCATCATGCGATGGCCGACATCTATAATCAGGATCCTGATTTTCAATTGTTCTCGAGGCGCATAAACAGACAGAGGATCAATTGGCGCGCAAGGTCAAGGAGCTGAGGGAACGATATGGGGACCTTATGAAGGATGTCGCCCGAAACAGTGAACTTGAGGCATCCCTTAAGGTAAAGGAAGATGAGCTCGAGTTAAGTAGAGGGGTGATGGCCGAGAATGCCGACTAGCAAATAAAGATGGCCAGTTTGGCTACTGAATTGGGTATGAAGGCGGCAGAGATTGATGGGCTTAAGGGCGAGCTGAGTGTCAGTGCCGATAAACTGGCGACTACTATTTCTGAAACGGCAGCCTTGGAAAAATGCCCTTCGTGTTTGTAGGTCGGCTAACCAAGTAGAAGGAGGCATCCAAGCTTAAGGTAATGGGGCTTGAGGGGCGATTTAAGGAATTGGAGGCGGAGCTATCCGCACTGAATGGACAAGTGGCGTCGTTGAGAGCAGAGGATGCGAGTCGATGCTCGCAACCTTCTATGTCTCGTGCCTCGGCCGACCCTGTCGTGCCTCGTCGTTTATACGAGTTGTGGGTTCATGATGAGGTCTGGCTCAATGTGTACAAGGCTCTTCCTGCTGACGGGAGGGCATGTGAAGTAGAACTCCATGGTGTGCGTGCGAAAGTTCGTGAGGCATACGGATACGACCCTCTTACGCCCGACGGGGATGACATCAACTCTGATGATGCGAACCACCCTTACCTCTGACTCTTGGTATGAAGATGCGTATCCTGTCGGGGATGCTGTGTAATTTTTTGTTTGTACTTATTTTTTGCTTCAGGATTTTTGTAAGGGCATGCTTGAGCCTGTTATAAAGATAGGTGCTAGTAATATTTTGTTGTAATGAAGAAATCGTTTTGTCGATTTGGTGATGATCTTTGTAATATTGATGACATCCCGGGTACTTGTCGAATTGTTAAGCCGATTTTGCTTCGGGTGAGGTCGAGCCTTTTTCTTTTGGCGATGGCCTTAGCCATTGGGATGTTACCTTCGAACTAGCATCGAAGTAGGATCCCGTTGTGGTTCGAGTGAAGTCAAACTCATTTTTCATCGATGGCCTTAGCTATTGGGATGTTACCTTCGAACTGTCGTCGAAGTAGGATCCTTTCATGGTTCGAGTGAAGTTGAACTCATTTTTCGTCGATGGCCTTAGCCATTGGGATGTACATTCATATATTGGAGATTTGATTATATTCCTGTAGGAGACACATGTCGACTTTGTACATACAATGGAGATCTGAATATATTCCTATAGGAGATACATGTATACTTTGTACATACAATAGAGATTTGGCTATCTATATCCAGTCCCTTCATTACTCGGCCTGGAGATCACGTCGACAGGCAGGGTAATGAACAATACTTCGGACCTCGAAAGTCCCCCTTGCCGCCTCATTAAAAACCTCACCGAGAAAACCCGATTGGGAAAAAACCCAGATGGGGGAATAAGAGTACGGCTTAGGTGGAGCCTCCTTTCAGAAGTGGAAGTATTTGAGATGGGTGACATTCCAATTATTTTGAAGTAGTTTTCCTTCCATTGTCTCTAATTGAAATGCTCCTTTGTTTGTTGCCGCCGTGATTTTGTATGGCCCGTCCCAATTTGTTCCCAGTTTTCCCTCATTAGGGTCTTTCGCTGCTTGTGTTTTAGCTTTGCGGATGTAGTCTCCGACCTTGAGCGGTCATACTTTGGCCTTCTTGTTATAGTACTTTTCTGCTTGTTGCTTTTGGGCTACCATTCTTACGTGGGCCATATCTCTTCGTTCTTCGACTTCATTCAGATCTTGTAGCCTACTTTCGTCGTTGCTTGGTTCACTTTCGTTGGAGTACCTCAAGCTAGGTTCTCCGACTTCAACAGGTATAACCGCATCAGTCCCGTAGAGTAATGAATATGGTGTCTCGCTTGTTCTAGTTTTTGGAATAGTGCGGTATGCCCATAGTACTTCTAGCAGTAGTTCAGGCCATAGCCCCTCGAGCTTCTTTTTCAATATATTTAGTATCACTTTATTGGAAGATTCGGCTTGGCTATTACCAGCAGGATGATATGGTGTGGAGAGTATTCGTTTGGTGTGCCATTTTTCGAAAAACTCGGTCGTTTTCTTTCCGACGAACTGAGGTCCGCTGTCACAACTGATTTCTGTGGGAATGCCGAAGCGGCATATTATATTTTTCCATATGAACGCGATAACTTCTTGCTCATGTATTTGAGTGTATGCACCTACTACCACCTATTTAGAAAAATAGTCAGTTAAAACCAAAAGGAAACATACCTTACCTCGTCCTGCCGGGAGGGGTCCGACAATATCCATCCCCCACTTTATGAATGACCATGGCGAAATGACGGAATGCAGGAGTTCTCCTGCTTGGTGTTGTTGATACCCAATTTTTTTCTATATATTTTCAATATGCAAAATACATTCAAAATAGCATATATATGCATATATAAGCATGTCCGAGTATTTTATTATTTTCCCATAATTTTTAAGGTTTTTAAATTAATTTATTTCCCTTTTTTATCCATAAAATCCCCAATAATTATTTCCAAAATCATTATTTTGATAATTCATCTATTGGATTTTTATACTTATGCCAAAATATGGCTAAAATAATTGTTACATATTTTTACAATTTCATTTAGTATTTCTAAAGTTAAATTGCACATAATTGCAATATTAGCCATTTCTAAGGTTTAATTGTGTCTTATATTCATAAATTTGAGTCTTGTATTTTTATATTGTTAATTATGTATTATAAATCATTTTAGTACTTTGAATTTGTTTTCAGAAAACTATTTACCATTTTTATAAATTAAAAAGGGGGAAAACTGGCTATTTAAATAACAGCCCCTTTTGTATTTCAATTCTGGCCCAAATTGGACCCCAATTCCCCCAGCCCAATTTTAATTTTAACCCGACCCTAACCCCTTAAAACCCTACCCAAACCCGGATCCCTACCTACCCCTTTTAATCTAGGTCGTTGATCATTCAGATCAACGGTCATCGTTCACCCTTAACTTTTTTAACCCAAACGACCACCCTAACCTAAATCATTCTCACCAACCCACCGCCCTTGAATCCCCTTCCTCTCCAACTGTCTTTGCAACTTCACTCAAACCCTAGCCATTGCTACCCTAATCCCCTTCAACACTCACCCAATCTATGGACTCCCATGGCTTTTTAAGGCCTACACTTGTCTTCTACGTCTCCTGGCGGCCCGCTTGTGTGATTCTATGGACAGATCTCAAAGAAATCTGGTCCAGTCCTTGCTCAACTTCTATCCAAGGTCCTTTTTCGGCCATCCATGGCTGCTCGAGTCAAACCCATGGCTTTTCCGACTAAAATCGGTAACGATCTATTGTTTTCTCGTCCTCTCTGGGTTCTCTGAAACCCTAGTTCTTGAGATCTTTTACTTTTCTTTAAGATCTATTATCGATCTAGGTAAATCCGTGGGTTTTAACCGATCTTTTCTTCGTCTCTTTTATTTCCTTGAAAAACCCTAGCTAAGATCCTCCGATCTTTTGAGATCTGTGATGGATCTATGGGATTCTTAAGGTTTTCACTTGTTTGCCTAAAATGTTTCTCCGATTTCAAACTGTTCTCTATTTTTTTTCAAACAAGGGTTTCAAAACCATTTTTGCAAGAACGACTTCTTTCTTATTATTGTGATTTTAGTATGTTTAAACGTTACCTGAGCCTTTCCTTTTGGCTCAATTCATTTTTTTGTCAAAGAACCCTAATACTTCTGGGTTCGATTCGAAGTTTGAATTTGTTTGTAGTACGTTTGCATGATTATTATGAACCTTCTGGGCTCTATGTGTGTTCTATGTGCTCTTGTGCTTCTCGTTTTGATTTGTTATCAAGGTTTCTTTGATTTATAGATCCGACCATTTGTTTTACTGATTGCTCACACAATTTATGGTGATTCTGTACGATCTCCTTATGTCTACACCCTTGATTCTGTGTATTTTCCTCGTAACTCTATACTGATTTTTCGAAAATTGCTTCATTACTTTTGTGATACTTTCCTTGGATAGTACTGATTCCCTGTGATTTTCAATCTCATCCGTGATTCTTTGAACTAACTTTCAAAATCAATTTGTAATCTGCCTATTTATGTGCACAATATACTGTTATTGTACTTTCCTTACTTGAAAATATTTTGTACTTAGTCCCTATTACATGCATCATGCTTTTACTATTCCTATTATAGCAAAATCAGTCTTGCAAATCATTTTCCTTATTTGATACAACTTGTACCCGTTTGAACTATGACTCCCTAATTAAAGGGAGTCCGGGTCTTTAATTGATTCTAGTCTGTATTATTTCTATAATTATGATCCGTCAATACTTGTTACCTTATTTTCCACTTACTTTCAAATCTATAAATACCCTAATGCTTTCATTAACAAGACACGAACAAAAATATAGTTCAAAACACACACTTTTACACTCAAACTCTCTCTTCTTTCTCTGTTATTTTTGCTACTGCTTGTCTAGCCGGCTGAAAGCCAAGGCCGGACTGTGGAATCCTACTTGCTTTTCTTTTTTGAACTTTGCTTCTTTGACTGGTATGTCCTAGTTTAATTTTAAAGCTCCAACATCAACATGCTTCTTATTTGTTTCAGCTTCTTTCATTTTTGGTCTACTTCTGCTTGTGGTTCTGTTAAGATACATAACTAGCATGCTATAATATGTCCCCTTCCCCCTTAGATTAATGCACTCCCATGTGTGTGTTTTAAGGCCTACTTTGTCAATCACTTATTATGTACTTTCTATCTTATGAATCCCAATCCCCTCCATATGTTTGTGTTCTTTTGGCTGGTTTGTGATTATGCCAGTATCAGCTATTGTTGTGCATGTCCAAACCAGACCCCTGCTGGGGTCATGTGCTTACAGACAAATGTCTGTGTATCCCCAAAATCCCTTGATCCCCCTGTGTGGCTACTGATTCTATGTGTGATCCATCTTAAGGGGTTTTGAGTTTTGTTTACTACTACCACTGCTTTCAATCATCTTTGTTACTGATTGCTTTCAAAAAGAATGGATTTGACAGTCCAGTTTTTACACAAAATCTTTTTTCAAACTATGTCAAGCACTCTCACATATGCTCTTGGAATACTAGGTTCTACCCGTCTTGTGTGAACCCTGCCTTGGGACCCTTGAGCTCTCTCTGAACTTGGACATATAAGAGTTGGCCCTTCCACACTGCACTTACTCTTGTTTATGCAATCTGGGTATGAGTACTGCTCGGGACCCCTTGAGGTCCTTAGGGAACTCTGACGCACCTAGACATGAGCAAGGCTTTGGAACAATATCGGCATTGAAGTGGTTTATTACATAATCCAAAGAGGAAGTCGGGATCAGGCTTTATATGGTTGTAATTTCTTATTTTTGCATTTCTTTTGTAATTCAATCATTTGGTCCATAATAATTTGTAAACAATTGTGGGGTTGGCTAGTGAAAAAGGAAGGGGTGACTATGCATGCTTTAGCTATCAAAAGGGTAGGAAACATGTTATTAGGTTTATATTCCTACTTGCGCAATAGGAACCATGCTTAAAATTCATTTCATGCATTAGAGATCATGTTCCCTAGGACTACACTTACTGTTCTCAGCATGCTCATATCACTTAGAAAATCTTGTGTTAAATGTGTTAATAACCGGTGTTTTCTACGATCATGTTCCTACTGCCATGCACACTTAGAGATCTTGTTTTAGGCTTAAACAACACTAACAAACATATCATCTATGCATATTCTAGTAATCATGTTTTAAACGCTATAATATTTGTGCATATAGAAATCCTGCTTAGGATTCTACATATACATCATTTTGCATCTCTGTACATTAGATACCATGTCTTTAGGATTACATTTATATTCGCTTAAACATGCTTAGGCTAACTATGAATGCATAAAAGGAATAAAATAATTTTACTAAGCCTTTACAATTAACTGGCAACAATTATATGTGCTGAGCACTTAGAACAACATGCTTTAGGTAATAAAAGTCATCTCCAAACTGTCTTAGCAATTCTGAATAACTACTGAATATTGCTTACGCCTAGGCAAGCCTTAGGTAATCACTTAAATAAAACTGGAACTGCCTTTGTTTAATTATCAACTGCTACAACTAGCAGGCAGGCCTGATTCGGACTTTTTTTCTGAGTTATATAATGAATCTGGTTCTAACTTAAACACATTGCTTTAGGATTCTAAATTCAGACCTTAACTGTGTATTAGTCGTGCTGTCTATGTGCACTGTTTGTGGAGGTATAACTGAGCCTTCTATTTGCTTATATGTTTCCCCCTAATTGCAGTCTTATGTGTTTTGTATGTCACTTTAGTATTTTTGCCTTTAAACCTAAGGATCATCCTAGAACCTCCTTCTTATAGGAATAAGAGTCTTAAATTCCTCCGGGACTGATAGGAATGGGACGGGTAACAGCATGCAATAGTGGTCGAGACTAACACTCGCTTTAATTACCTTAACGGGATGGGAAAGGGTAGATATGGATGTGATGACCAATACGTTAATACCACTTGTATCCCTTCTTTTGAGGAGTGTCATACCGGTATTGCATTGATGTGATCCATATTACAAATAAACCTAGGACACCTCCTTCTTTTTATTTTTATGAGTATGCTTAGATTATAACTCTTCTCAAAACCTTAATTTCAATAATTGTTTTCAAACACTTGTGTACTTAAATCCCCTATTACCTGAGACCTACTTGTTTATTTGCTAATTTCACAAATTCACAAAAACTATCTGGCCGGGAACCACACTAGTGGATCCTGAGAGGTGTCTAACACCTTCCCCTTAGGATAATTTCAAGACCTTACCCTATCTCTAGTTATCAAACATAGTTGTAGTTGAACCTTATAGGTTCCCTAATGCACCTTAAAAATCGTTAGGTAGTGACTCTTAAAATATCCAATTCCCAAAAAGGAAATGAATCATTACACCCCATGAACGTCGAAACCCAGACTCCTCTCCGCAGAGGGAGAAAAAGGGGGCGCGACAGGTGTATCATAGAGGTGTACTTTTGACACTGTTCACACTTCCTAACGTAATTTGCGGCTTCTTTTTTCATGGTAGGCCAGTAGTATCTGGCATAGATGAGGCATCGTACGAGGGCGCGGTTTCCCGTATGGGCACCGTAGTGCCCCTCGTGTACTTCTTCTAGTACTCGCCTTATTTGATTTGGCCCAAGACACTTGGCCAGGGGGACGCCGAACGTTCTCTTGTAAAGATCACAGTTTATGAGGTTGTATCTAGCTGCCTGTATTCGAAGCTTTTTGGCTTCTTTCTTATCTTGTGAGAGCATTCCAACCTGCAAATATGTTACGATACGATTGCGCCAGTCCCAAGTTAGCTTTACAGAATGTACCTCGACCTGGTCTATTGAGGAATGCAGAAGAGTGACCACGTTTTCCTTGTTGATATTTTTGGTGGATGTCGCTAGCTTGGCGCGACCATCTGCTTCGATATTCTGCGCCCTCGGTATCTGTTCGAGGCGGCATTCATCAAATTCTGGCAATAGTTTGTGAATTTCTAACTGGTACTTTTGTAGTATCTGTTCTTTGATTTGGAAATTCCTAGTGACTTGGTTCACTACGAGTTAAGAGTCACAATGGAGGATGAATCTTCGAGCGCCATATTTGAGGGCTAATTTCAATCCTGCAATCACAACTTCATACTCGGCCTCGTTGTTAGTCATCTCGGGACATCGTATGGACTGGCAAATTACTTCGCCCGTAGGAACCTCGAGGACGAGTCCCAATCCTGATGCATTAGATGCGCCGTCGATGTAGAAGACCAGAGGTTGGAATATGCGGAAGCGCGGAGCGCCTCCTGCTCTACTTCAGGCAATATTTCCGCGCTGAAATCAGCGACGAAGTCGGCGAGCACCTGCAACTTTATAGTAGTTCGCGGTTGGTATGTTATATCGTGCTCGCTTAATTCTATAGCCTATTTGGCCAACTTATCTGATAGCTCGGGTTTGTGTAGATGCCCCTGAGGGGGAAGGTTGTCACCACCTTTATGGGGTGACATTGAAAATATGGTCTAAGCTTTCGTGGAGCTACGACTAATGCCAGAGCTAGTTTTTCAAGGTGAGGGTACCTTGTTACGACATAAATTAAGGTTTTGCTGATATAGTAAATTGGAGATTGCGTACCTTTATTTTTGCGGACCAAGACTACACTTACTGCGACTTCGAAGACTGCTAGGTACACCAGGAGGCATTCGCCCGGGTCTGCCTTGACGAGTAGTGGTGGCGAGGACAAATACGCTTTCAGTTTTATTAAGGCGTCGACGCATTCTGAATTCCACTGTAGCTCGTGGTCTTTCCTTAGTACATTGAAGAATTTATGGCATCTGTCTGATGATCGTGAAATGAACCTCGATAGGGTGGTTATTCGTCCTGTTAATTTCTGCACCCGCTTTTTGCTGGTTAATGTCTCCGATATTCCTTCGATGGCCCTGATCTGATCCGGGTTAACTTCGATACCCCTTTGTGACACCAGAAAACCAAGGAACTTTCCTAAGGTTATACCGAAGGTGCATTTTCCGGGATTCAGTTTCATTCCATATCGCCTCAATATCTCGAAGGCTTCTTTCAGATGACCAATGTAATCCTCTTTCTTTTTCGACTTCACTACCATGTCATCGATGTAAACCTTCATGGTCTTACCGAGTTGTTCTTTGAACATCTTGGCGACTAACCTTTGATACGTCGCCATGTATTCTTGAGTCTGAACGGTATGACTTTGTAGCAGTACGTTCCTTGGTGAGTGATGAAAGTGGTCTTTTCTTGGTCTTTTTCAACCATTAGAATTTGGTTGTAACCAAAATATGCGTCTAAGAAGCTTAGTAGTTCGTGTCCCGCTGTTGCATCGATGAGCTGGTCGATATGTGGTAATGGAAAGGAATCTTTTGGGCATGCTTTGTTCAGGTCGGTGAAGTCGACACACATCCGCCACTTCCCGTTATTCTTTTTTACCATGACCACATTGGCAACCCACTGAGGATATTTTGATTCTCGGATGGAACCATTAGCGAGCAACTTATCAACTTCTTCACTGACTGTCTCATTGATAGTGGAATTGAATTTTCTTCTCATTTGACATACTAGCGGGTAAAGAGGGTCGACATTCAGCCTATGTGGCGATGTCCCTTGGGATTCCCAGCATATCTAAATGGGAAAAGCAAACAAATCGGCATTGTTAGTTAAGAACTTATGGAACTTACCTGGTTCCGAGAGGTTGTGTCCGATATAAGCCTTTTTCGTGCTGTCGGTGCTGTCCAATTGAACGGGGTCGAGGTCTTCTACGGTTGCCTTGCAGGCTTCTACGACATCCTGGTCTTTGATGGCCTTTATTTGTATGTCGGGTTTGGTTCCCGATATGGCTGATTGCTATGCTTCTGCACTTGCCCCCTTTAGTTGTTGGGTGTGTGTGCAGTCCTGGGCGATTCGGTAGCATTCCTGAGTGGTGCGTTGCTCGCCTCGGATGCTGAATATCCCTCATAGGGTAGGAAATTTGATTACTTGGTAGAAACTTGACGAGACGGCTCGCATGGCGTGTATCCACGGATGCCCTATGATGGCGTTGTAGGTTGTATCCTGGTTCATGACGTGGAACGTCATTTACAGGGTGACTCCTCCTGCCAGAACGGGTAGCACTATCTCTCTAGAGGTTCATTCCACTGCATTATTAAACCCTGTTAGTGTTATGCAATGCGGTACTATCTTATCCTCGACCCTCATCTATATGAGGACTCGTGGGTGAATAATACACGTGCCGCTTCCGTTATCCACCATTATTCTTTTTACATAAGAATCCGCAATACGTAAAGTTATTACCAAAGCATCATAGTGAGGGAAAGACAAACTATTGGTATCCGACTTATCGAAGATGATACTATCTTCAAGGTCATCATACCGTTCATGGGCGGCTGTCTGCTTGAGTTTGTGTTTGGTGGTGAATTTTACATGGTTGATCACTGTATCATTGCCGCCACCAATGATAATTTGTATGGTACGATTGGTGACGGTGGTTTTGGAGGTCCTTGAGGTTGATCGCTCAGCAATTCTTTCAGGTATCCATGATTTAGCATTCTTACCACTTCCTGTTGCAGACCTATGCAGTCTTTCGACCTCCAAGTGCCCGGATCTGACTTCATCTTTTGCGGTCACTGCACTTTTATGCCTAGCTTTTCTAGCGCACACACCATTTCTGAAGGAGAAACATAGAAGTTATGAGCAGATAATAGTGGATGCATACCTCTTTCATTTTGAGGTGGCGCAGTGTGTCGAGCCGTGGCTTCTGCATGTCGTGGAGAAGGTGGGTTGGATGTTCGGATATAAGGCTGATGCCTTTCTCGATTGAAACGGGATAGTTGGTCCCTTCGACCATCGTTACGTCAATCTCTCCTTGTTTCGGTTTGGACCGATGTTAGCCGTTGGATCGGGATATTTAGGTCATCCTCGCATGCCCTTACTTCGGCTCAATAGGTATTATAGATTTATTCCCACGTGGTGGGAGGGTACTTCATGAGTCTACTTAGCAGCTTTTTGGTTGATTTTGACCCGTTTATGTTTAACCCATTTTGGAAGGCCGCTACCGCTATCCCTTCTGATACGTTTGATAGGCTCATTCTTACCCTGTTGAATCGGGCAAGGAAATCCCGAAGTCCCTCGCATGTCGTTTGCCTGACGGCAAAGATGTCATTTACCCTGGCCTCTGCCTTTTTTGCTCCCGTGTGAGCGATAACGAATTTATATGCCATTTCTTCGAACGTTAATATCCATCGTGCTGGTAGTTGGGAATACCATGTCAGCGCTCCCCCTGTCAGAGTTTCACCGAACTTTTTCAGCAGCACTGATGGCACATGTTTTTTCGATAGATCGTTGCCTTTTATTGTAGTGACGTAGTGGATTAAGTGATCTTCCGGGTCCATGGTGCCATCATATATTTTCAAATATGGCGACATTTTAAAGGTTTTCAGAATAGAATGGGGAGACTCCCCTTCACTGTATGGCTGTTCGATAAACCGACCTACGTCACGTTTTGGTACCAGCTTCGGAGCGCCTGGTATTTTATCGACCCTTTTCTGATGCTCCTTCATCTGATTGCAGAGCGTTTTGTTCTCGTTCTCCATCTCTTCCATTTTCTTTAAGATGGTCGCAAGTGCATCGTTACCTGCATCAGTGACAATATGAGTGTTACCTGTGCGTGAAGTTTCTGGCTCGTCGGCGACAGTTGTGGTTTCTTCGGGTATTGTGCCCCCGATATCCCTTTGAGTGGGTTTGTCGAGTATGTTGCTCAAGGTATTTGTCAACCATTCTTCTAATAGCCTTTTCACAGTCGGTGGTGCTTCTCCTACTGCGGACATTGAGTTTTCCCTCTCGCGCGAGACAGTCACACCCTCGTGCGGGAGGGGTGAGATATCTCCCTCAGGTGTAGCACTTGGCGTTGCATTTTCATTGTCTTCCCTACCAGCTTCGTTGAGGAAGTCCAGAACGTTGTTCGTGACACCTGCTATTGCCTTTAATCTTGCTTTTCCCTTTCCTGCCATTGTTGGCCTTTGTTACGCTAAGAAGAGATGATTATTTCTTTCAAAGATCTAGACGAAACTAAAATCTCAGCTATAGAAATCCCCACAGACGGCGCCAAATTATTTGACTCAAAAGATATTGGGATCTTTTTGAATAAATCATTTTAAGGAAATGAAGGGGTAAATCTTAGCTAAGTATAATAATCTCTAGAACAAAATATACGCGAGATGAATACAAAGGATAATATTTCTTGACCTTATCAAGAAGAATGATCGAACAATAATGATATTAATCGTTTTTGTAAGCAAGTGTTACAACAAGTGTTCTTAGTTGACAAAACGGAAGAAGGAGAGGCCCTTACAAGGTTGTTTTCACGCTATATATATAAGGGACAAACCCCTTCTAAGCCCTAAAAGACAAAATACAGAGAATATTCGAAAGAATATTCCTAATGCCCCCTAATGGGCTTACACTATTGTAAAAGTCGTGCAGTCTCTTGTTAGCTTGTCTGTCGTCCCCTGCAAAACGTCGAGCTACGAGGATCTCGTCGCTTGTCATATTCATCCACGGTCATGGTCGTCCAAATTTGGACCCATACAAATTTAACTTTATACTTCTTATTCTATTCTTAATAAGAAATTGTTATAACCAAGACAAATGTTATTGGATCCAAAGCAATTATCCTGCTTTTAAAATAAAAGGTTTTAATTATTTTTTAACTACATGATAAATCAAATTACGTTGTATAAATTATAACAAATATTTATTTATCAAAGATATATGTTTGGCCGACAGAACATGTCACGTGATCTATTTTTATAGGCATGTGCCCTATTGTAAGTGATAGAACTTCCCCTAGTGGTCATTGTCATATTGAAAGACAAATTGAATAGACAAACGTGGAAAAAAGAAGATGATGTTTAATGTAAGTGACTTGCTCTTATTTTCTGTCCTTCTATTGTAAATAGAGTAGACATATTTAAAAATATTTTTAGGAATTTTACATACTTGTCTGCCATTTTTTTCTTTTCTCCTTTACTGCATATTTTTATAGGCATATGCCCTATTGTAAGTGATAGACATATAGCTTCGTTTCTAGTCTGCAGCTAGTCAAAGTCTATCTAGTTGCTCATGGCTCATTGCAAGCCTGTGATCCTTTGTTGGCCTGTCACCTTTCCATTATTTTGTCAGTTCAATTTAGACGAGCTAATTTGGATCGACACTAAAATTTGTAGTTTTAAAAGGTTAAGGGATAAAAACTTTGTAAGATTATAATATTTGTGTTGTTATAAACACTTATCATTAAGCGCGAAATGTGTAAAATAAAAAGTTTAAATTTGAATTACTTTCAATTGCAGAATTGTGTCATTCTTTTAGAACGAACTAATAAGTAAAGTTGGACTTCTAAATTTAAACAGAGGAAGTAGTATTTATTTATGAGTGAAAAGTATGAAAAGTTGAGCACTTTCAACAAATAGCAATGGTTTCTATGGTGATGAAGAAGTAAAACGTTCCAGCTTAAACCATAAAGCAAGCTTTATTCCAAATAATCACAGTCGAACATCATAAGAGATCAACCTAAAGTGAATTATGACAAATTTTCCATTGAAAATACTGTCTTTTCTATTCAACAAAGCATCAACATAGAATTCATATGATGGTTGGTGGCAGCGAACATAACACAATCTCAAGCCACGATTTTTATTATTAATGTCAATTCCTTCTGCATACAAACCTTAATTGAAAATAGAGTGATTTTTATAATATGGATGCACTATTAAAAAGGAGGAAAAAAAGTAGTAATTATTGGGAATTGATTCATGCTCCTAGATGAATAACTAAGACTATTTAGCCTTTTTGGAGCATGGATGCCAGCATATAATATTAGATCAATTTTAAAAAATATGTACATAAAATATCTAGTTTGGAGGAGAGACCATGAGTTCAGGGCCCCATAAATTAGGTTTAAATCCGCCCCTGATTGAAAATACAATGTACTCCCTTCGTTCCCCATTTACTTGTCATGTTAGATAGTCAATTTGATTCATCTTTAAGCTAAAATAGATTAAATTATCTCAATATTTTAAAGTTAATATTTAAATATTCGAAAATTATACAAGTAGTATTATAATTTTGATTCTTCTCATGTCAATATGGTGAAAATTTACATGTTAAAAAGTTCAT